TACCCTGCCCTTCCTATTCTATTCTACATGCGTTCTTATACCTTCTCAGATTGTTAAATGGGAGAAGGAGCCTGGCTAGAACCAAGGTACATGGGTGGGGGATCCTGGTCTAGAAATGGCTGAAAACCACCATACTAGATGGATGATGAGACTGTAAGTACATAGCCAGGGAGGGGGGGGGGGGAGGACAAAGCCTCATGCTTTGTATATATAAAGGTGAGAAATCAATAGCTTTTTTGGGGGGGGGAGAGGGGGGTTGTTTGCTTAAAATACCTGTGAATTTCTGGAATCTTAGGGTTGTTTTTAAACAGACAAGACGTCTTAATGAAAGGTCTGCTGCTTAGGCTCTCATTCTGTCTGACAGTCGACTGCTTCTTCGGAGGAGATTTTGATGACAAATTTCCTTTCACGCAGATGTCAGCCTCCTTAGTGCATTTCTTGATTGGGGATACTGACAACTTGGGTTTCTGCTTTGAAGGTGTGCCTTCGTCTGCCCATTGGAGCTTCCTTTTCAGAGCTTTAGATTGCTTCAGTGTTAGCAAATAAACAGGATGGATTAGTATGTAAGGATTCACTATGCAATATTATAACCTTCCTAAGGCCCTAGAGAGTTGCATCTCTTCCTATTGGAACCTTCATGCCCATGTATAGAGAACAGGGTTTGATTTTGCAACTGGACCTGTTCACATTCTTCAGAGCAGAAACTGTAATACAAATAGTAATAATCTAAATTCTTATTTTGGTGCCCATTACTACAGTATCTGATCCATTTTCTGTAGTAACTGAACAGTACCCTCTTTAAAATATATATCATCCAAATCAATTGCTGTGCAAATCTCATGATCAGATTAAAGACCTCCATCCCTCTTTCTTTCTTTCTTTTTTTCCATGAATCCTCCTTGATTCTGACCTGTGCTTCCATCAGGCTTCAGGAATTCTGATCTCTCTATTCCTGGATCTATAGTGATCTTGATTTCTTTTGAAATTCCTTCTGCTTCCTCTGAGAAATGTTTTTGCTCACCCCATATTCCTCTGCCAATACTGAGGCACACAATTAATTTACCTTTCTTCCATCACTAAGGCCTGGGCTACACTAGCAGGGGGGGTTCGAACTAAGAAACGGAACTTCAGCTACGTTATTCGCATAGCTGAATTCGAAGTATCTTAGTTTGATTTACCTGGCCGTCCTCACGGCGGCGAGTCGACTGCCGTGACTCCCTCTCTCCTCTACTGGGAAATAACTTGCTAACTGAATCCTATAATTCCACTGATTATGTAATTTTCAAAAGTGCCTAAGTCACTTAGGTGCTTTTGAAAATTTACCCAAAATTCAACAAGTTTCAAATGATTCAAGAACAAATCATAAACTGAGAAAGCGGCGGCCTGTAGTCTGCTGAGAATCTTCCTAGCATCCGAAGTTCGAAAGGATTAAGTTACAAAGAGGCTCACACCTGCCATTTTCAAAATCATGCCCATCAGCTGATGTATTCTGTCACTTCGATATTCACAGCCAACGATCCTAATCCAAAAATCACATCTACATGGGGAGACCTTTGCACTCATGTAGAGGCACACTGACTTCAACGGGACTCAGCATGGGTGCAAATTCCATCCATGGGGGTGGAACCCAATAGACTCCAAAGCACAAGACCCAGTGCTATAAATTTTCTTGGCTGTAGATACTTATGCAGCCCTTTTGGCATTTCATTTACTGATCAAGGCCTGTCACAAGGGAATCTCTTTGCTGACTATACAATGATTAATCTATATATTAATAATATTTATGATCATTTGTTAACTATGCTTGGTACTATTCAAGACAAATGAAGACTGCAGGTACTGGGTGGTGGTGGTGGCCTGTGATATACTAGAGGTCAAACGAAATGATCTGTGGTCCCTTCTGGCCTTAAACTCTATGACTATGACAAAGTCCCTACTTTGAAGAGTTCACAAACTAAGGTTCCAATCTGGCAAAAATGTGTGCATATGCTTAGCTTTAACGCTGTGAACAGCCCCATTGAATTTAACGCGCCTAAGGCTCTGACTCTGCAATGAGCTCCTCACAGAAGGACTTCTGCATCTGCACAGAGCCAACTCAGTGGTGCTATGACCAGGCCCCTGTCCACACAGATAGATTGCAGGATCAAAGCACCAGGACAAAATCCTTCAAGTACACAGACTGTCAGGGTTGAAAGGGACCTCAGGAAGTCATCTAGTCTAGCTCCCTGCTCAGAGCAGGAACAATCCCCAGACAGATTTTTGCCCCAGATCCCCCTCAAGGATTGAACTCACAACTCTGGGTTTAGCAGGCCAATGCTCAAACCACTGAGCTATCCCTCCCCACAGTGTGGGCAGACCGCTGTATCTGTGCAGAGCCTCACAATGATGTGCCCACGCAGATCCAGCTGCAGCACTGGGGCCTAAAGAACCAATCCTGTGACCCTTTCTCATATGAGTAGTCTTTCTTCACATCAGTAGCTGTGCTAAAGACAATAGGAAGGTTTGAGTGAGTAAGCAGTGAGCATTGCAGGATCAGGCAGTTTTTATAAAGTTGGGGGCTTTTTAATTAGGCATAAGGGAAGCATACTGTTGGTACTGGTTTGTGTTAGTGAATCTCACAGAATCAAATAATATAAAATTCACCTTTGGACTGAGACCAAATATAGAAAGAGACAGACCCAAAAGCAAAATTTCTGAGAAAGTTACAAGCGATTGAAAAAAAGAAATTCATCATGAAAGTCCATATGTAACCTTAACTACAGTGCAACCTCAATTATCCAAAAATACCAGGGAGACCAAAATCTTTGAGTAATCAGTGGAAGCTGAACCAGCAAGATCCTCTAAGATCAGACTTCAACATCTACTTCTGATGTTCTTTTCCCCCAGACCATAGACACCCAAATACTGTAGCTTCCTCAAAGCTAGTTAGCTCGGCAGAATTAAACAATGAAATACCGCTCAGACACAGCACTAAAGTCCTACTGTATTTTGCTGAGCCACCTGGCCTTGGGGGAATTCACACGTGACCCCTGATTCAAACCTCACTTATCTGAACCACCCCATTCCCTGAGCCAAGATCCCATCACCCATATTAAGGATGGAGGGATTCGGGGTGCAGCGGACCTAGTTACAGAGAACTGAATTATAATTAATGCTCATTTCAAATCTTTCAAAACAAAACAAAACAAAAACCCAAGAGGGAATGATGACTTGTTGCAAAGCACAAGCCATAGCAGTTTAGGTTTATAATATTGCAGTTTAATTCTTTTCTGGAATAGTTTGGTCAAAGTTTTTTCTGTTTTTATCAGACTCGGATGAAGAACTAAACATACCCACTTGTCCTTGCCGGGCAATGGCTTGCGGAACCTCTTGTGTCCTGCAGAATGGTGGGACTCTGGGGAAGGCAGAGAACTCACGTTGAGAATCAATCCCTCATCTGCCTCCATGGCTTAATACACAGCTTTTGATGGGGGCCTTTATCTGCAATAAAACCACAGCCCTGAAGGACATTACTCCACAGAGACACCCATGCGACTGCAGAGAACTAGAAGCTCCAAGGCAGAGTTTAACTTAGCTGCAGCTAGCTACACCAGACCCCACATGTGCTACCCAGTCCCAGCTCAGTGAAGGAGGACCCCAAACATAGCTGTCTTGCAAAGTCCCCTAAACAGCAAATCGCAAAAGCACTTCTCTGGACAGATTATTGCATTTTGAGCCAACCAGCTCAGGCTCCTACATTCTTACTGAGAGAGAAAGGATTTAATTTGAAGGGCAGTGTTTAAAGTCTCTCTCTCTCTCTTTTTGCAGTACCAATAAGACATTTAAAATCTCACCCCCTTGGGCTGCTCTCAAACTGGGGGGGGAAAGTGAAGGGAGTCTCTCTTTTTTGCAAAATAAATGATTAATGGGATTCTTAAAATGTCGCTTTTACATTTGTAGAGCAAAATGCTTCTTTCCAAAGAAAGCAGCTTTAAAATTACTCTACAATCCCTATTCCAAATATTTGCCATTTTCCTACTTTATTCTTCCCCAAATCTCCCCCAATCCCATGTATTTCAGAATTAAAATGCATTTCACTGTAAATATCCATGTGTACAGCTTTCAATATCCCCAGGACAATGGGTTGGCATACAGCATAAATCCATAAGGCCACCAAGTATCTTTGGTGAGGATGGGCAGCAGGTCATGTAACTGCGCAGACCTATTGGTTGCCGTAAGGGCTGTGAGTTTGCCAGGGGCTGAGGATTCAACTGTTACAAATCCTGCATAGTTTCCACAGGCAAGCCTTTTAATTTGGATTTCACTTGGGTTCAGTGAGAACATAGTGTTTTAGTTTCATTATTATTTATTTTATTGGTCTTGCACCCAAGCGCTCCACTCATAGAGCAGGGCTCCACTGTGCAGGGTGCTGCACAGACACATAGCAAAAAGACCCTGCCTCGAGAAGATTACAATGTCACATCTTCCATGTAATAACAGTAATTACTGTCAATGTAATATGTAGAATATAGTAATATTATTTAGTATACAGCTGCATTGTATTATTATTATTGCAGGGGACTGGACTAGATGACCTCTCGCAGTCCCTTCCAGTTCTATGATTCTATGATTCTTCATTAAATCTCTGCCATCATGTCATAACACTTGTTGACATTATTGTAAATTCTTCCCTGCATCATTTTGGATGATTGTTATTACAGGGTAATATAATTTTAGTTCACATGCAATATTAATAAGTATCGTTGTGGTTTATTATAATAGTAGCCCCCATGCAACATCATTATTGATCACTATTATGGATAACACCGCTCTCCCTCGTGCACTATGATCGTGACTCTAGGTTCTACCCACTCTAGGTATTGCTCTCATCCATTGCTGGAAGGAAGGGATTTTATTCAGGCAGCGGGTAAGCCACCCCTAACCCAAGCCAGGCATGGGTCCTTTATGGTCGCGGTCGCGCTGGGCGCGGCGCATGCGCGGTGCGCTGCGAGCGGCTTGTGTGAGGCGGCGGCAAGATGGCGGCGGCGGCAGCTGGAAGTGGGGGGAGCCCTGCGCTGTCCTCGGGAGGGGAAGAGCCACCAGCGGGCCCCGAGTCGCCGGCAGAGGAGGCGGTGTCAGCGGGGCCGAGCGCGGGGTTCCGGCTGACGGCGGTGCGGAGGGAGCCGGCCGTGCGGCTGCAGCACGGCGTGAGCGGGCTGGAGCCGCTGGCCTGGTCTGAGGACCACCGGGTGTCGGTGAGCACGGCCCGGAGCATCGCCGTGCTGGAGCAGCTCAGCGACATTCACAGCGGCGGGCAGGAGCTGGTCATCCACCGCACGGCCGTGCCCGCGCCCGCCGCGGGCTGCCTGCTCAAGGTGAGAGACTGGGGACCCTCCTCCTCTGCCCTGGGGATGGACCGGGGCGAGACTGGGCCCCTCTCCCCGCTGGGGGCTGCAGGGTTGAGCGCCGCTCCCTCCCCACGGCCATCCTTGTCCTCTCCCGGTCCCCTGCGCTCTAGTTCGGGGCTTTGCCCATCGCCTTTTCCAGCCGCCCCCCCCCCCCCCAAACGTGAGGCAGGAGCTGCCTCCTGAGGGGAGGCCCCTTGGACCTGCCCACGGTCACGCCACTGACTATTCAAAGCGATGTGACACCCCCCACCCCCCAAGGCTGCCCCACTCCCTACTCTTGGCCCCATCACCCAAGGGAGCGCTAGTCCAGTCCCGTTTCCACAGCTGCTGCTATTGTCTGAGGTTGTCCTGTGTTGGAGGTGCATGTGGCTTTGTTTACTAGTGGAGTTTTTCTCACCCTGACTCCACCTCCACTGTTCCTCAGATCCAGGCTAATCCAGATAAGGATTAATTATTGAACAACGAATTATTTATCCTGGGATAAACTTTAGGAGACGATAATTTCTTAGTCCCTGAGCACAGCCGTTGTATAGGATCTGTGTCGACACACCAGATACATACCCCTTGTACACAAAAGCAAGAACAGGTTTTTGTCTGGACCTGTTTTTTTTTTTTTTTTTTTTAATGGAGATATACCTATCTCATACAACTGGAAGGGACCTTGAAAGGTCGAGTCCAGTCCCCAATACTGTCCCTGACAGATTTTTGCCCCAGATCCTTAAATGGCCCCCTCAAGGATTGAACTCACAACCTTAGGTTTAGCAGGTCAACGCTCAAACCACTGAGCTGTGCCTCACCATTTGTATGTGACAGTACAAATTATTGCCTGTATATTCGCTGAGTCCATCTATGACTAGCTGGTTCACAATCAGGGCCATGCAAAAAATAGTATGGAGAATGTTCATTCTAAATGTTACTTTTTAAGAAAGGTTGTTGCTTTCCGTTTGCTTCTTGGAACAGCTCCTAGAGTAGACTGACTGCATCTTTGCCTATACTAGAGAGAGAAGGTGGGTGAGGTAATATATTTTATTGGACCAATTTCTGTTGTTGAAAGAGATAAGCTTCCAAGCTTACACTGAGCTTTTCTTCATGTCTGGGAAAGGTACTCAATGTCCTTTTTCTTCTACTTTCATTTTGTGTAGGGCACATTTCAGTGTGTTCTTGTTGTACTGTGTAATACAGGATAGTACTTTAAATGTAAATACTTATTTAAATAAAAACATTTACCTTGGTTATATCCTGAGCCTTCCTAATTCTTTATTTTCAGAGCCACTTCTTCTTTAAAAGAAAACTAAAACAGAATTTGCAAAAGTTAAGCTTTATTTTGGATTTTAAAATTTCCCCGTAGTTTGTTTATACCACTATTAAAGCATTATTCCTAGTACATGAAAACCAGAAAGTAAAACTTCTAATCTGTTTTCCTTTCCTAAGAGGAACTAAATACAGAAAGTGTTAAAAAAAAAAACATTAATAATAATAAGTAAATTAGACTTCCTAAAGCTTTTTCAGTTTTAAGGTATTCTTGTAAAGTAGGCTAGGCAACAACTTGACTTTCTAACTCTTGAAAAAAGTTCGAGGCACTAAAGCATAAACGAAAACTACACCTGTGCTTAGCTTAGGAGTGTCCAAGTGAAATTATTTCAGTTTCAGTGTGCAACTAGCATGCATCTGAAAAAGACTGTAATTACAGCTAAGTTTTACTGACACTCTTGCTGGTATCAGTCTTGTATGAGACTGCAAATCAGCTTCCATTCTACTCTAGTACTTGTTTAACTAGAAGAGTATTGATTATTTAAGCAAAATGCATTGTCATTTAGAAGTGCAGTGGGGAAGAATGTACCAAACAGATATGTGACGCTAATAAGTTTACTTCATCCAGTGCACTAAATGCCTCAATAGCAACTATATGGGTGAAACCAGACAATCCATATGTTCTCAAATGAACTCACATAGGAAAATAACACACAAAAATGCCCCATCACCTCTGAGCATACATGTTGTATAAAACAATCACTCCTCATCCTCAACACTTTCCAAAGACAAGTCTGGGAGCTTAAATTCAAACTTTGCTAGACACTAAAATCATGCACTGAACAGACACACTGCTGAAGTGAGGGTTTTTACCCATGAAAGCTTATGCCCAAATAAATCTGTTAGTCTTTAAGGTGCCACCGGACTCCTTGTTGTTTTTGTGGATACAGACTAACAGGGCTACCCCCTGATACATTACAACAATTTGTAACTCACCAACCCCCCTTTTTCGTTCTTTGACTGCAGAGGTGTTAATGGGCCACTTACCCTAAATTTAAGAGATCATTCAAGGTGATGTGTTAACTACAGTACTTATGCTAAATAATCTGTTCTACCTTGTACCTGTGACATTCTTAGTACCTTTCCCAGACTTTAAGAAGAGCCTAATGTAAGCTCAAAAGCTGGTCTCTTTCACCAACAGACATTGGTCCCAAAAAAATATTACCTCGCCAACCTTGTCTCTCTAATATGACACTAATATCAGATATGTTATTTTGGGATTTGGTGGGGTGGATGTGTAAACTACGGTTTGGTCTCATTGCAGTCTCCTATACTGTATGCTATTTGCTGACGGAAAAACTATTTTTAATATAGTATGTGTGTCCTAACTGTGTTTATATCTGCATGACCGAAGAGTCCATTGAACCTGTTTTTGCTGACGGCTAGCATATAAAGATTTAAGCCTGAAATCGTTGGCTGATTTTAGGGCTTGTCTACATTATGGATTTTTGCACCAGTGTAGCTACACAAGTGCAAACCTCCCCCAGTAAAGATGCACTGCCCCAATATTTGCAGCAGTTTCAAACTGAGGTAAGTTGCACCGATGCAGTGCATCTTCAGTGGTGCAAAATTCCATAATGTGAATAAACCCTTAAATGGCTTTTTAAAACCCTCATTTGACTAACTGGGTTAAACTTAAATGGAAAAGGCATGGATTGTAAAACTCAGGGTGGTTGTTGCAGATTGACAGTGAGTAAACTTCAGTTGTTGTTGATGTAGGTTTCTTAGACTGCAAGATCTCTTAGCCAGGGACTGTATCTGTTTTATATAGGACCTAGCACAGAGGGACCCCAATCCTGATTGAGTGTGTCTGAGAGATACAGATATGAAATACTCATACTCTGTTCTAAGATCTTCCACACTGCCAGTGTCACATTTAGCAACATGGTACCAATAGGAGTAAGTTTAGAAATATTAAATTAGATGGCTCAAAATATCAGAGCATTTCGATCAGTTCAAATGTGCTGAAGGGATAGTAGTGACAAAGACATAACCAGTTATCTCATTTGAAGTTGTCTTAGTTTATGGGCTGGCGTTCCTGGCTCACAACACACTGTTGCCTCTTCCACCACAGAAACAAGAGTTAAAAAGGATAAGAAGAGTGAACTCTCCATCTGTCCCTAGGATTGAAGAAGCTTGCACCTTTGCTTTATCTGTTCTGTGGATAAACAGAAGACTTCAGTTTTGGGAACTTGTCAATATTTTTATGTTCTCATTGCAAATGAAAAGGAGAAATTTACAATCACAAAATGCAGTTATAGTTGGCAATTTTTAAAAGATGTCTCAAAGCTTAGTTCTAAACTTACTAAAATCCAAATACATGCAAATTGGGGGAGGGGATAAAGAGGATATTTTTAAAGTAAGTTTTACTTGCATCTTTTGGCTTCATAATTAAGATTGATAGAAAATTGTAAGCACAGCCTTACCGGGTCTGTTTCAGCCTGGAACAGTTATGATGTCATATGACGACTCCCAATTCCTGCCCTTCTGCAATACTAGAACATTTTAGGTTGTACTCATCTGATACTTAATATATGTGTAATTCCAGCTCAGTACACTGGAGAAAGGCAATAACTCATAAGTTAACATGCCCTGTAAGCTAAGACTATGACCCTTCCAAACCCAAAAGTGACAGTCATTGTAAACCTTTGCAGGTGATCAAGAATTATGTATGTGTCCTTCCCATAAACAGGTTTAGATGATGCACAGGATTAAGTGAGTTTGGAGGCTTCATTGTAATTTGTAGAGAGAGAATAGACTGTCGAGGGGAGGGCTATAGTAGGAAAGTTTATGGAAGCAATATTGTAACAAGTTGTTTAACCTGCACAGAGTCGTGTGCAGAGTTTTTGATCGTAAACTGATTGGTTTGATTCTATTTTCTAGTGTGTCTCTTTAATAAAATATACAGAGTGTGAAGATGCTATTTCACAAGAATATTCAAAATTTGGGGCTATTGTTGGTTGAGGAAGTAGCTATTTGTAAATTTCTTGCATCCATACTCATGATATTTAAAAACTTTGACAATAACTGAGTGTATTACTACATGCTGCTTTTCAGGTTTTTGTTTGTTTGTTTTTGGAAGTGTAAGAGGCCATGATTAGTGTAGCAGAAATTACATATATGCAGTTGGGTTTCCCTCTTTTGACCAGTATGAGGGAGTGCTTTCCTTTAGTGTTGTGTGTACCTTTCAACTGCTGGACACAAATGCTGAAGTTCACATTTTAAGTTTGCTCAAAGTAAGGGCCAGACTTTCAGCCGTGTCTTCCATTGATTTTAATGGAAGCTAAAATCCTTCTCTCCTTCCTCTCTCCTGTATTGGACATAGCATATAGAATTATTAAATTAATATTTTTCTGTTATAGTACAACTAAAATACTGCTTTAGGAAATGTTTTTATAAAATTGTGTTTTAATAGTACTTATTCTGTTTCAGGTTGGTTCAAAAAAGGAGGTTGCAGAATGTAAGGAAAAGTTTGCAAACTCTAAGGATCCAACAGTTAGTCAAACCTTTATGCTAGATAGAGTATTCAACCCTGAAGGAAAGTCACTACCACCTATGCGAGGATTCAAATATTCCAGCTGGTCTCCGCTGGGCTGTGATGCTAATGGAAGATGCCTTCTAGCAGCTCTAACTATGGACAATAGATTAACCATCCATGCTAATCTCAACAGACTACAGTGGGTGCAGCTGGTTGATCTGACAGAAATTTATGGGGAGCGTCTGTATGAAACCAGTTACAAACTTTCTAAGGTTGAGACCCCCAGAGGAGAACTAGGGGACTTTGCAGAATTTCAGAGACGACATAGCATGCAGACTCCAGTCCGTATGGAGTGGTCAGGTATCTGCACCACCCAGCAGGTGAAACACAACAATGAATGCCGAGATGTTGGCAGTGTGCTCCTAGCCGTACTCTTTGAAAACGGAAACATTGCTGCTTGGCAATTTCAGCTTCCTTTTGTGGGTAAGGAATCCATCACTTCTTGCAATACCATAGAGTCAGGAATAAATTCCCCTAGCGTCTTGTCTTGGTGGGAATACGAACACAACAACCGAAAGATGAGTGGACTCATTGTAGGGAGTGCTTTTGGACCGGTTAAAATCCTTCCTGTCAACTTAAAAGCAGTTAAAGGCTACTTCACACTCAGGCAACCTGTTGTCTTATGGCAAGAAATGGACCAGTTGCCAGTACACAGTATCAAATGTATTCCTCTCTACCATCCTTACCAGAAATGTAGCTGTAGCTTAGTGGTGGCTGCAAGAGGGTCTTATGTGTTTTGGTGTCTTCTCTTGATATCCAAAGCAGGTCTGAATGTCCATAATTCCCATGTGACAGGGCTTCACTCTTTACCAATTGTATCCATGACTGCGGATAAACAGAATGGCACAGTATACACTTGCTCAAGTGACGGAAAGGTAAGGCAACTCATTCCCATCTTCACAGATGTTGCATTAAAGTTTGAGCATCAGCTTATTAAGCTGTCTGAAGTGTTTGGCTCTGTGCGGACTCACGGGATAGCTGTAAGCCCATGTGGCGCATACCTAGCAGTTATTACAACCGAGGGCATGACCAATGGCCTTCACCCTGTAAACAAAAACTATCAAGTTCAGTTTGTAACTCTCAAAACATTTGAGGAGGCAGCTGCTCAGCTCTTGGAGTCTTCTGTGCAAAATCTTTTTAGACAAGTGGACCTGACAGACCTTGTGCGCTGGAAGATTTTGAAGGATAAGCATATCCCTCAATTCTTACAAGAAGCCTTGGATAAAAAGATTGAGAGCTGTGGATCCACTTACTTTTGGCGTTTTAAGCTATTCCTTTTGAGAATTTTGTACCAGTCAATGCAGAAAACTCCCTCTGAGGTGATGTGGAGGCCTTCGCATGAGGACACAAAAGTATTAATATCGGATTCCCCTGGAATGGGCAGTACTGAGGATGATCATCAAGAAGAGGGAACTTCAAAACAGGCCAGCAAGCAGAGTTTGTGTGAAGTGAGCAAAGGAACAGACCCAGATGACCCAGCAGATGACACTCTTGCCCACTCAAGTGACGTAGGAGGACATGAGCCAATGGAAGAGAAGCTCCTTGAAATACAGGCACGAATTGAAGCAGTAGAAATGCACTTGACACGGGAACACATGAAGCGGGTGTTGGGAGAAGTTTACTTGCATACATGGATTACAGAGAACACCAGCATTCCTACCAGAGGAGTCTGTGATTTCTTAATGTCTGATGAAGGCTATGATGACAGAACAGCACGAGTAAGTGCACATGTATATTTTTGGGCATCCAAGCTGCAAAATGTCCTGGTTTCTTCATTCTCAGCTTTACTATCTTGGGGGCAGAAGGTGGAGGGTTGCTTGTAAAGTGACTTGTATCTGTTCTGGAGATTAGTTGCCTGCCCTTCCAACTGTGGATGGTGGGTGGTGCTGGATGTGGGAAATCTGAATACACACCTTAGAATTTGGGTCAGGCATAGTAAAGAACAAACCGGTGTTTAAACTTCTGCTGGTATGGTTAAATTGGGGAGGAGGACAGACCTATAATCACTTTCACAATAACTTAAGTGAGCTGAAAGAATGTGGTGGTAAAAGGGGGCATCCTTGTGTTTTTTCCCCTGTGATTAGGATTATCTATCACTTCATCTATTTACACTAAAATGGAGGAGGCCTTTTCCCCCAAAATCAATTGTATTAGATCTTCAAAATTTTAATTCTTCAACAGACTTCAGTCATGTTATCTCTTGAGTACAAATGTTTTATGTAAAACATCCTGTTCATTTTAAATGATAAATTTGGCTTATTTTAAACTCACTTCCCTTAGTGCTCTTGTGAAATCAAGGAAAGCATCAAGTTTGAGATTCTTCAAAATTGACAAAATAAAACATTGTAAAAGTCAATCAGTGTTTAAAAAAAATTATGTAAATGGAAAACAAATCAATTGACTTGAAGTATCTTAAAGACATAATTTAAAATTTGATTTATAAAACATGTATCCATTGCCTGAACCTCTGGGCACATTTATGTTCTAAATATATTAAAATAAACATAACTGAATATGATGTTGCATCCAAGCACTAACAAGAACATGCCCCAAATTTACAATTCTCCCTTCTGCAGTAAAACTTAAATACAAGAGTAACATCCAATCCATCACCAATCCTGAAAACAAAAATACCCATCACAACTAACTCTGTTCACTCATGCTTTTTCCTGAACTATGTTCCTTGTGCTGGGTAATGAAGTTAACAAACGTGTGCTGTATCAGACCAAGAAGGGAAGCAAGAGACCCTCTACTGAGAATGGTCTGCCACCAGATGTTCAGATTTAGAGTATGTCTACACTGCAAAGAAAAACCCGTGGGTGGCTTGTACCAGCTGACTCAGGCCTGCCTTGCTTGGGCTGTGGGGCTGTTTCATTGCAATGTAGATTTCTAGGTTTGGGCTGGAGGTGGGAGGTTCCCAGAGATCAGCCCAAGCCCAGAAGTCTACACTGCAATGGAACAGCTCTGCAGCCTGAGCCTGAGTCAGCTGGTACAAGCCACCCACGGGTTTTTCTTTGCAGTGTAGACATACCCTTAGGACTGAGTAAGAAGGTGTCAGATGATCCCTACAGTTCTGCACAGAGATGTGCACTTTTTCTAGTAACTGAAGCTTTGCATCATTTAGGCCTTAAAGATCAAAATCAACCCCTTTAATTGCATCTGGAAACAAGTAGGAAACCAGTCCAATTTCCAATACTGGGGTAAACAAGCAGCCCAGAACAGTGTGTGCCAGCTGAAGATTGAGTGGCCTTTAGTAATTCACTGGCAAAGTATTCTGTCAACACAGCTATGTTCTACTGGCATCCTCAAATTACTATGAATTGAAAGCCTGAGGGAGAGAGAGGTTGCCCTTACACACCTTGTAGACAGAATACAGTTTCTTTTTCTGGTATTTAAAAATATATATAACTCTTGAATTTTGTTATGAACCTCTGTCAGTCATGACTGCTGTAACTTCCTAAAATATTTCTTCAGTATAACAGGGATATGGCTTGTATCAGTTGAAATGTCAAAGGTAAATTATAAATGACAAGAATGGTAATACATTTGACTGAATACTTAGGCTTTCAGTGGAACAGCTACGTATATTGTATTTGATAGTGATTGCTGAAACAAATTCATCAGATTCATAAATAATTAACAGAACTTTAAACTCCTCCATTGTCATAGCCATAAGACTATTTTAAAAAAATTGTGCAGTGTCCTTGAGATTCATATATTACACCACATTAGAGATCAAGTGCAAGTTGCTTTCTTTTCAGTCACAATTAGCGTAAGTACCAAAAATCCTGGTTATTTTCAAACAAATTCTGTATTCCTTTCAGTGATGTGTGGGGTTAGGCAATTAAATCTATCAGATTGCATGATTAGCCTGTGGAGAAGAGTAAATCAATCCATCTCTACTACCGCACTATGTATTTGAGTTGCATTTTCTTTCATTTGAACTCAGTTGTGTGGACTGGATTTTTGCATCTTGTATTTTCTTCTGAAATCACGCCATCCCGTGAGATTCTCCACCTTTCAACAGGCAGTGTCTTTTCCTATAAACACTGCTGACTGCCGTGTGTTCCCAGGTGCTGATTGGACATATCTTAAAGAAAATGAACAAACAGACTTTCCCAGAGCACTGCAGCTTGTGTAAAGAGATCCTGCCATTCACAGATCGCAAACAGGCGGTCTGCTCCAACGGCCACATTTGGCTCAGGTAAGGTGTTAAGGAGCTTTTGCTTTGGTTCTCTTCTCTGTTTTGGATGAGCGGAAGGCATTTCAGTAGCTAATGTAAAATATAGTCTCCTATTGTGAATGAGTTAATGACATGGAGCATGTTGTCCATGCTGTGAAAAGGAAAGCGAGGAAGCAGACAAGGTGTCTGGTACTCTCTCTTTTTCAGAGTGAGGAAGATCTAAGGGATATTTTAGAGGGAGGGAGGTAGGCCTAAATTTGACCTTATTTATATTCTTTTGAATATTGTTTTATTTTCAAAACTAATGCTTCAGTGCTCGTAATTCATCCTTTGTTTCTCTTCTCCTCCTTTCCCCACCCCCAAAGGAAAATAAAAGGAAATCAAATGGCTTATAGCTTTTTGGATGGGAGGATGAAAGAGGAAAAAGTCTGTATGGAAATACATTTTGTGCATTTCTGGCTATTTATGCCCTTTATCTGAAATTACTTGGTTGCCAAAATCAAATCTGTCAGCTGATTAGGTCTTAATGAAACCAGTTAATGTGCATGCCCCGAGTTACTTTAACATTATTTCAGAATGACCAGAGTGCAAAATCCTCACAAAGCTTTTAACACCGAAGACCAAGAAATGTAATGGGGGTTGTCTGTAGAGCAGAGGTGGGCAAACTACAGCCCGTGGGCCACATCTGACCCGCGGGACCCTCCTGGCCCGGGAGGCTAGCCCCCAGTCCCTCCCCTGCAGCCTCAGCTCACTGTGCCACCGGCGCAATGCTCTGGGCGGCGGGACTGCGAGCTCTTGCTGGGCAGCACAGCTGCAGAGCCGCCGCCGTGGCTGGCTCCAGCCGGGCGGCATGGCTGCCTGGCCTGGTGCTCTGGGTGGCACGGCTGTAGCGCCGCCAGCCACTGGTGCTCCAGGCAGCGCAGTAAGGGGGCAGGGGGTTGGACAGAGAGTAGGGGAGTTTGGGGTAGTGGTCAGGGAGCGGGGGTATGGATGGGGTCGGGGCGGGGAACAGGGGGCTTGAATGGGGGCAGGAGTCCCGGGGGGGCAGTCAGGAAGGAGAGGGGGGGTTGGATGGGGCAGCGGGGGGTGGGCAGGGGTTCCGAGGACGGTCAGGGAGAAGGGGTGGTTAGATGGAGGTTCGGGGGCAGTCAGGAAGGAGAGGGGAGTTTGGATGGGGCAGCAGGGGGCGGGCAGGGACCGGGGGGGTTGGATGGGGCAGGAGTCCCGGGAGGGCTGTCAGGGTGAGAAGTGGGGGGGGGGGGGTTAGATAGGGGGCGGGGCTAGGCCATGCCTGGCTGTTCGGGGAGGCACAGCCTCCTCTAACCGGCTCTCCAGACAATTTCAGAAACCCCATGTGGCCCTCAGGCCAAAAAGTTTGCCCGCCCCTGCTGTAGAGGTTTGGCCACAGCCATTGGTGTGAATTCATTATTCTGATGCTAACAGAATCCACTGTCTGGAAGAGTCCCTTGACCTTTCTAAGTGTTGTAAGCCCTTAAGATAGTACAGAAAATCTGCATGCATCTTTAAATCATGGTGATTGCTATTCAGTGACTCTGTCCATTAAATAGCTCTGAAAATCTTCATCTCTTCAGGTGTATTCTGGTTAAAATTGTAAAGCCAATAGGGGAAATACTTCCCTCCCTTACCCTCTGACCTCTTGTCCACGTATATTATTACAAGGCAATGTTAATTAGTTCATGTCAGCCTACATAATTTGGCTAATTAAGTTAGACGTGAAATATGTTTATATTTTAATGCTAACCCATATTTCTTAAAGTTGCTGGTTTTGATATGATGTAATCAGTGATATTGGGCCAAATGCTGCTCTTACACAGTCTGACAGAAGCACAGCTGTTAGCTGAGAGCAGAATTTGTCCCTCTGTCATAAAGCATACAATTAGAAACTTCTGTTTGATGATGCAATTTGCCACCTTTCAGGTGCTTTTTAACCTACCAGTCCTGCCAGAGTTTGGTATACAGAAGGTGTCTGCTTCATGACAGCATTGCACGGCATCCAACCCCAGAAGGTGAGCTACTTCCATGGCTTGAAAGGGCAAGATTGCATTTTCTCACCGAGTGCTTTGTCATCTGTATAATGACATGGATCAGGCTCAGTGACTCACTGTTATTTCAGACAGCTATCAAGTGGAGTAGTAACATTCTACTCTTCATGATGTTTGGCTGTAGTCTATCACAGTTTTAAAGCCCTAATTAGAATATAGTAATTAGAGAAAGTAATGTGTAAATGTGTTGCATTTTAATATGAGACAAGTACATATGCAGTCTGTGCTAGAGTGTTACAGCAGATAGACAATTAATACTAATTTAATTAGATTTCTTTACATGTACAAATTGCAAGCCCAATCCTACAAAATGCTGAGCACCATTGATTTCAATGAAAGGTGAGTTTTCCCAGCACAAGCTTAGAAATATCTTGGCATCTTGCAGGCTTATGCTCTGAAATGTGATAATTACATCTTGTTTAGACAATGTAATCAAAGTGAAGGAGCAGGTCTTTTGATTTTGCACTTCCATACTTTTCCTATATCTAAAAAGACAGAAATTCTGCAGTAACTTGTTTTGAATTGCAGCTGATGCCTTATAGTTCTTTGAAATAAGTGTTTTTATATGTCGAAGTTTTTAACATTTTAAAACGTGTCTACTGTGTTTGATGGCACAATATTAAACCTCAGTTCGTTAAGATTTTTTTGTAGTGCTGTTCTTCAGGGAGGATATGATCTTATCTGGTTTTCCAATGCACTTTTCTGCAGAACTGATGTGATCTCAATGGAAGTTTTATTCTACTGGCATGTGTATTCCCTTCCCAGAACTTGTAGCTGATCCAGTATCAATGAGAATTAGACAATACAAATGGATCTAAAATGCTGGAGAAAGGGTTGCTGGCTTCATTTTACATATGGAAGACTAAATACTGCAGTAATTCAAAGATCTAATTTCAACTCTCAAAAACAAGGTCACTAAGTTATAGCAGAAAATTGTCCTTAAACTCTACCCATTTTGTCTGTGTATGGCAGATTTGTTTGTGTGTAAAGACAAGCTGCAATACCTACGCAAGCTATAGTGTGATGTGGAAAGCCTTAACTTTGTCTCTTTCTGCTGAAATGACATTTAAATTTGTATTTTAAATTCATTAATATTAGTGGAGTTGGGTTCATCCTAAATCTTCAGTGAGTCTTGTCAGATGTACATTTCAAAACATCGTTTCAGAGATTTTTGTAGTAGAAGTTTGGTCCAGCTAAAGGATGTGAAGCAAAATATTCATCCATCATTGTGATCTCTCTTCTGTGTAACTCAGGCTTTAAACCACTTGTTTTCTTATTTGCAGATCCTGAATGGATCAAGAGGTTATTGCAAGGACCTTGTACTTTCTGTGATTCTCCTGTGTTCTAGAGAAAGCTGTGGGAAGCTTGAAGACATTTTCTCTACTGCATAAAACTCCATTCAGCCTGGAAGGCGGCAGAAGGTGCAGGAGTATATCCATTTTACTGAAGGAAGAAGACACTGTTCCTAATCCTGTAAATAGAACACTTGAAGTTCAAAAAGCTCAGTAGTGTAGTGACCCATTTCATACTCCAGAAACGAGAGCATCTTCTGAATACCTAGCACAATGGAGTTTATGGAACAATTTTGAGGCAACCACGGACCCTGTTAAAGCATCAGCATTTGATTGGATACATTTCCTTTTATTGAAAGATCAGAAATCTGAGAAGCAGGCAGCCTGAACTCGGTCTCTGGTGAAAACTGGATGCTTTTCTCAAGGGTGAGAGCATCCCAATCAGGCAGAATGCAGGAGGCACTTCTTGAACAGTCTTGGTGGGAAGAGAGGGCTTCAGTCTGCAGTGCTCCTGTTTCTTTGCTTAATCAGTACTGGCACTCACTGTACCACAGAATATTAAACTATCAGAAATAATGTGTGATTCTAATATTTCTTAAGTGACCTGCATGTCAGTTTTAGCCACTTGATAGAAGTCAGCCACTGCATTAGATCTTTCACTCCATAACTAGCAAAATTATTCCTGGTATTTCTCAGGGTTTGGGGAAAAAATTGCAGTCAGAAAGCTAAAATCGGCAGCTTGTGCCAAATATGGATCAATAAGAGGAAGTTTTTAAATCCTAATGGTTATAAGTAAACAATATTAGCATTTAGATATTCCATGTCAGAGACCCAACTCTAAAATGTATAATGTCTAGTACTCAAATCTCCTTGTTCTTTTCTGAAATAAGTTTTAACCATTTACCACACTTGTGCCAACACCTGATCTCTTCAGTTCATTTCACACACTGTCAACAGGAACCACACTCCCCTGCTATGTAACCCGGCTAGTGCCACTTTTCCTTCCCTCCAATCAGGCAGTGTGACTCTCTTCCAAAGCACTGCAATAATTTGGCCCCAAAACAATCATTTCTGGCTATCATTTGGTTTTCTTTATTTACTATAAAAAGCCAGTTTGTGTATAAAAGAGAAATATTAAATTAGATGGGAAATATCTAACCAAAACATTCGGAGTCTGGTGAAGCTGTTCTGTGTTAGTTATAAAATGAAAGAGATGATTAGATCAGGTATTCGGAAACATACCTCTGAATTATCCGGGTGGAACCCCTGTTTGTCACTGAAACAGTGTTTTCTTTGACTGTCCCACTGGATAATTGTCCTTTCTGCCTCTGGCACCCAGCTTATGTGGGGGACATTTCCTCTTCAACTTTCTACAAAGTGCTAGAGGAATAATCCTTCCAAAACGAGTTTCTGTCATTAGAATCCGTCTTGTCTGGTTAAGAACCATTTTCTCAGGCAATCCAAAATTCTGTTTCCACTTCCACCCTTAAAAACGCCAGTCCACTAGATGCTCCCTGAAAAAAAAGGTGTTTAGTTGTTTTGTTTGTGGGATGCATGATGTGTAAAATTCACTTCTCCAGGCTTCTTCTTGTGTGGGAAGCAAGAGTGTGAATCTCCGGCGCATCAGCTTGTCATGCATTAACATTTTATGTGGACTCTGTTACAGAGCACAAATACTAGATTAGGTATTTGAGAGCAGCAAGGAATTATCCAGACAGTATTCAACAAATGCATGTGTGGATTGGTGCTTAAGTTTTCTTGACTTAATGTACATTTTCTTAATGTTCCTTTACCCTTATTAGGAGCAGTCACAGCTCAATTCATATTCAGACAAGCTAACTGCCTTTACAGTTCAGTGTTTCATGTGTTGAGCATGATAATGCTCCTACAATATACAATAATTCTAATAATTCAGAAGATTAGAAAACCATATGCACAGATAGATTCATTTGTAAAATAACCATAGCCTTGTCTGTAAATATCCCTGGGAGTGATACCTGGGGGGAGGGATAGCTCAGTGGTTTTAGCATTGGCCTGCTAAACCCAGGGTTGTGAGTTCATTACTTGAGGGGGCCACTTAAGGATCTGGGGCAAAATCAGTACTTGGTTCTGCTAGCAAAGGCAGGGGGCTGGACTCGATGACCTTTTGGGGTCCCTTCCAGTTCTATGAGATAGGTATATCTCCATATATTTTTTATTATTATTTATTACTGTAATTGTATGAAAGAAATGTTTAGTTTTTTATTGGTGTGCATTACAAACTGAAATAAACTTAGTGGTATATTTGCAAACAGAGTTTGTAGCTCCCAGTGTCAGCTAGCAAAGCAAGCAATGGAAAACCATTGTCAGTTGGAATGCTCAGAGTTGCACTGACATCTATTGTATGCTCAGTTTGAGGCAAGTACCAAGGTTAGAATCATAGAATCTCAGGGGTGGAAGGGTCCTCAGGAGGTCATCTAGTCCAACCCCCTGCTCAGAGCAGGACCAATCCCCAGACAGATTTTGCCCTAAATTCCTAAACGACCCCTTCAAGGATTGAACTCACTATTCCCGGTAGGATTCCTCTCCCTTCTCAGATGCTACCTAACTCTCCCTTCTCTGGGGAAACAAATGTCCTTTTTAATCCAATCTGAATGCTGAGATAGTCCAGGATTGGTGGTGGGTAATGGACTTGCAAAGTAAAGCTTTATAGGCTCTTGTAAAAACAGTCCCAATCAACTGGTCCTAGTCAAATATTCTGTTGCCCTTCTGAAATAATTCTAATCTTGGGGAGGGTTAGAGGAACTTTATAAATGAAATTAATTTTTCTGATAAACTTGTTTTTGTATCTGTTTCAGGCTTAGTGGTTGTAAAATCTACTGGTCCACTGACGTGTTTCTAGGTCTGGCAGACCAGAAGGTATTAGACCTAAACTCGTTATTCTGATTGCTGACTTGCTTTAATTATGGTATCATTTTAGCAGCTGTTCTCTCAAACTGCCCTAGCTAGAGCCTAATGTTTTATACACTTGGAAGGTCAGAGTCCAAGCTACTTTCAGCATTGGTGTTTAGCTTCAGAAGTTGTCACGGTAGTAGACACTCAAATTAGTTTAACTTGGTGGTGGTCTATGGTGGCAGATGGGATGATGAGATTTTAAAGTCTTCCCACAACCTGCAGTTTACATGCCACTGGATAGCTGAGAGTCTCCGATTTCCTTATGGAAACAGCTTTTGTTTCTTATTGCTATGGGTCAAGAGGTACAGTGGGTTTTAAAGCCATTGCATTTTTTTTTAGCAATTAGTTGAGCGCTGAATAAAATAGCAAGTTTCAGACAAGTAGAGTCCCACTGGATTTTTTTCCTCCCTCCCCCACTTGCCTTCTCAGAACTTCCCTCTAGTGAAATAACATGTAGCTGTTGAGTAGTGCCCATCACTTGCCGTTCTAGGAATCGGTTTAGTCCTATTTCTCTAGAGCATTGAAACATGCTGCAGAACCTACATCAACAGTCCAAGCATTGCTCTTCCTAAATACATTATTGTTGAATAGTCTCTCTCCCTGGAACATTTAACAGTAGACTGGACAGAGTACCAGTTCAATAGGGAACAGTCTTGCCCAAGAACTGCTCTCCTCTGGGAGGGCACTTGGAATTGTCCCCAGCAGCTCCTGGGAGCACTACAGAATTCCAAAATGAGACCCAGGAAAATGGAACAGTCATTGTCTCAACGATAGTCTGAGGAGCCCTTCCTAGGAGTCTGCAAGATGAGAGCAAGCAGCTGGGGCTTGGGAGAGGCCATCTGTATCTCTCTGCTCCATACTGTGATTGTGCTGAAATGTAGCAAATACAGTCAGCAGTGTGGGGCTTGTACACCTGGCTGGGGCACTTTGCTGTGGCTTGTGTTGTCCTAGAGGATTCCTCTGGAACCATTCTGTGATTAAAGCATGTGTACAGGTCTGTCGCATCTTACACGCATTTAACATGAGCGATTTCAGCTTTACACGGTTGGCAAAAACAAAAAAAAAGAAAATTTTAATACTTTAATACTAATAAAAAAAATGTACCTGTAGTGCGGGCGATTCCGCCCGCCATTACACTCAATGTAATTTTGACGATACGTGATTTTCGCTTTATGCGCTGACCGCCGAACGTAACCCCAGCGTAAGATGCGACGGACCTGTATGCAGCAGAGCAAATGTGCTGGAGTATGAAATCATGGTAGTCTGACTGTGGGGAAACATGCCTGAAGTGATCAGCACTCAGTCACCTAGCTCTTTAACTAACAGTTGAATGAAATGTAGTAGAAACTCCATGGGACTAGCACCCAGATACCACGATTCACAAGGCTAGATTGGTCTTTCCTGGGAAGGAAATGCTATACAAGCTGTGGGGAGGAGGGGGTGGGGGAAATCGAGGTGTTCTTTGCAGAGATCCCCTCACCTTGTTCTCTTGCAGGGGTGGGAGACAGGATTTGCCCCCTCGTGGCAGAACTGTGTATGAGGCTGGTAGTTCCACTCTACAAAACCGATTCTTGTACTGCTTTATCTTTGGGGCTTCGGTTTTTTAAACTAATCTGTGGTTCCTTAAAGCAGTGGTTTTCAACCCTTTTTTCATTTGCTAGCCTCTAAAAAATTTTCAGTGGAGGTGTGGACCCCTTTGGAAATCTTTGACAGTCTGCAGACCCCTCCAGATGTCTGCGGACTACAGGTTGAAAACCACTGCCTTAAAGGTAAAGTCTGGTATTGGCACCCAATTTTTGTTGTGAGAGAAACTTGGTGTCCTAAGCTAACATTTGGAAAAGCACCTAAGCCCCTTTGGAAGTTAATGGACGGAGGTTCTTTTGAAATTTGTACCTCTAATGCTGAAGCGAGGACCTGCCTTTGCAATGAAAGTGGATGTTTGAAGGTTCTAGTAGACTCTCTCAGTTGTTTGTTACAAAGACATTAAACTTGGAGCTCCCAAATCTGACTTATAATTGAGAGGCCTATTTCAAATACATCTTGCCATCATCTAAAACTGACTAAATAATATTTCAGGACCAGCCAAGATACTATAAGTTGGAGTTACTGCATTGCACTTAAAATACAATACAGAAGGTGGTGCACAGGCAGATTTAAATTGTGTGCTGTTGTGTTTGGGGATTGATAGCCACATATATATCACCTACTCTCTGCCTGAAGTTAATCTGTCATGATCCTTGATAAGGAATAGCTTCTTATGTCTCTAAGAACTAAGATTCATATGGACATCAGTCTTCCATCCTGACCTCAAGCAATTCCTACCTAACTGGTGTGTATGCCAGGATACTGAGGTGTTCTCACTGTTGGAAATTATTGGAACTGCTGAAACTAGTGGTTACTAGTGTAACTTTTCCCCCAAGCCTTGCCTTGCCTGTAGTTTGAGGCTATTCATGTTGTACTATGAGTTTAATACATACCAGACAGTACACTGGGTTAATTGGATTAAAACAGTGTAAAAAGCTAATTAAATATTGAACAATGTATTCTTATTGTGGTAAGACTAACGGGCGCATACAGACTGGCTAAATCCAATTCTGTTGGTGCTAGCTAAGAAATCCAAACTGCTATGATGGATTAACAAACAGGCTCTGGAAAGGCACTGACTGTCTGGATTTGTGATGATTTGGTGCTTAAACTTCTTCTCTTGTAGCTGTCAAAGCACCGTCACTCAGGGAGTGGTGGAAATCTGGAGTGGCAATGACTGGCTCCAGTGCTCCAACCACTCCTTGGATGTCTGGCTCAATAGCAATGGAAAGCACTTATTTTTACACCAGCCCCATCCAGTGGTTGAGAATTAATTCTTCTCTCCATTGTTTCCTTAAATTTAAAAGTAATTGAATATAAATAAAAAAATATTCTAGAAAGAGCCTGTTTTTAAATGCCCCCTTCCAGGCTGCTAGTTGTGCTGTACAGCACTGTTTTTTCCAGAGGTGGTGATA